TTCAGGATTTTAATCCATTTTGCCACTCTGTGTCACTTCATTACTTTAGACCATTGGCATTGAGAGAGATTATTGTTGTGGGTTTTTGTGTCATCTTTCTGTAGAAGTTTTTTGTGCTTGTGGGGTTTGTCTTGTCTTACAGTAGCCCCCTCAGTCCTTCTTTGAAAGCTGGTTTTGAGTCTATCAAGTTCCTGGGCTGTTGTTTTTCCATGAAATAGTGTATTGTTTCTTCGAGTCTGAGAGAGAGTCTAGCCGGATAAAGTATTGTTAATAAGGCATTCATTTCATTCAGTTTTTTCACTATATCCCACCACTGTCTTCGGGTTCAGACAATGTTATCTGATAAATCTGCTCTAAATCTAAGGGATGCTTCTTGGTATGTGATTTTCTTCTTTGACCTTGCTGCTTGCAGTATTGTGTCTTTATCTGTGGTATTTGTTGTTCTGATTATGATATGTCTTGAAGTCTTTTTATCAGGGTCTCTTTTAGCTGGTACCCTTTGGGCTTATTGGATCTAGATGCCTGCATTCTTCAGCTCTGGGAACTTCTCAGCAATGGTATCTATAACTGTTGCTGCTTTATAGGGGTTGCCTCCTGTCCTTCTGGTACTCCGATGATTCTTATGTTGTTCCTCTTGAATTCATCCCCTAGGTCTCTTACTCGCCCTTGCACTATTTTGAGGTCTTTTCTCATTGTATGTTGTTGCCTGTATGCTTTCTGCAGTCCATCTTCAAGCTCACTGATTCTATCTTCAGCTATTTTCATTCTACTCTTGAGGACACCCACTGAGTTTTTAATTTCATCTGCTGAATTCTTTATTAGTGACACTTCTGTTTGTATCTTATTTCTGCTCTCATTTCCTCCTGTATTTTATTGGCTGTCCATTCCACTGTTTCTTTAATATCCTTTAATTTACTGGATGCCTGTTCCACCATTTCTTTGAGCTCACTGAACATCCTCAGCATTTCTTCTGTGAATTCTTTATCAGAGTGATTGTATTTGTGGGTATTCCCTGTTGAAGCTTCTGGGCTCTTTTCTTCATCCACTCCTCGTGGTAGGGATCTGTGCTGTTTAATGTTACTGTAATAGTATGAAGGTGGATCCCTCCTGTTCACTATCAGTGTCCCCCTCTGGCTGCGAGGGAGGCTTCTGGATGGGCTCCATCAATGGTGGTCCCCTTTCAAGAATATTAAGTTCCTCTTTGGTGCTCCTCTGTGATTTATGTGAGGCCTCTAGTGCAGCTTCAGGGGATGTGTTCTTTTACATTAGGTTTGTTTAGATTCTTTTCTCACTGTTATTTTGATGAGTTTGGGAGTATTTTGATTGGAAAAGTCTAGTAGACTGATGGCCTAACTTAATGTATTTGGTCCAGTCAGGGTGTCCTTGTAAGAATTAGGTAATGGAGGTTGAGATGTGAGTCCAAGAGCTGGGAAAGGGGAAAATAACTGCAGCTGCGTGAGTGGCTGACACCCCTGAGGCCACACTCCCTGCTGCCACTGTACCTGTGGGGGAGGGGCCCACAGGTTGATGCTGGTGTAGGAGTTCCACTTCTCGAGCACTTCTAAATTTTTAGGGGTTCCCTCTTGCCTAGGTGCTCATGTGAGCCGAGAAAGGGCCTTTCAGTTCCCTGAGGCTGCTTGCTCGGCACTGCAATTTACTTTAGAGCAATGTTAATGCTATTCTTTTGTTACTTGAGAGTTAATTGACTCCAAATAATATTTACTCCTGGGCATCTGTGATATTTACTCGACTTAAGCCTCAGTTGTCCTTAGTTCCTAGCACCCCAAAAGGAGGGTCCTTATGAAGGGAGTTGGATGAACCCAGGGCAAGCTGTAAACTACCCTGGCATTGAAAAGGGACAGGCCAAGCGCCTTAAAACTTATAATAAGTTAAGAGCAGGGTAATGGACAAACTGTCAAGACCCAAAAAAGAAGTAACTGGGTGAGGATTCTGCTGGGGTTAGGAAGGACTAATCTGACCTGAGGACTGTAATCTGGGATACATAGACAGATGTCCCCAGGAGAGCCACCTTTTTTTAAAAAATTTTATTAGTGAAAGACCATGAGGTACAGTTGTAGACACAAATTTTTGTGCTTGGGTTTCAGTTATACAATGATCGAGTACCCATCCCTCCACCAGTGCCCACCACCACTAATCCCAGTATCCCTCCCACCCCCCATCTCCCCATCTCACCCTGCCTCTGTGGCAGGGCACTTCCCATGGAGTAAACCTCCTGGTATTTATCTCGGCTATTCTTGGATGTCAGTCTCCCATTTTGTTACTTTATGTTCCCCAGATGAAGGCAATCTTCCTATGTCTGTCCCTGTCTTTCTGACTCATTTTGCTTAGCATGATACTTTCTAGGTAGTACCACTTCTATGTAAATTTCATGACTTCATCCTTTCTAGCAGCTACATAGTACTCCATTGTGTAGATGTACCAAAGTTTCTTTAACCAGTCATCTGTTCTCGAGCACTCAGGTTTTTTCCAGATTCTGGCTATTGTAAAGAGTGCTGCAATGAACAAACAAGTGCAGATGTCGCTTCAACTATACTTTTTTGCCTCTCTGGGGTATATTCCCAGGAGTGGTATTGCTGGGTCAAATGGGAGCTCAATTTCTAGTTTTTTGAGAATCATCCATACTGTTTTCCAAAAGGGTTGAACCAGTCGGCATTCCCACCAGCAGTGAAGGAGGGTCCCTTTCTCGCCACATCTGTGCCAACACTGGTTGCTTTTGTTCTTTTGCATGTGGGCCAGTCTCTGTGGTGTGAAATGATATCTCATTGTTGTTTTGATCTGCATCTCCCTGATGATTAATGATGTAGAGCATTTTCTCATGTGCCTTTTAGCCATTCAGATTTCTTCTTTGAGAAAGTTTCTGTTCATTTCGTCGCCCCATTTTTTGATGGGGTTGGTTGTTTTCTTCTTGTGGAGTTTAACCAATATTTTGTATATCCTTGATATCAACCTTGTCGGATGTGTATTCGGCGAATATCCTTTCCCATTCTGTAGACTGTCTTTGTATTTTGGTCACTGTTTCTTTTGAGGTGCAGAAGCTTCTTAGTTTAAGATAGTCCTATTTATCTGTCTCTGTTTTCACTTGCTTGGCCAGTGGGAGAGCCACCCTTTAAGCTTAATATTTCTCTGTGTCCCTACAAAATGACTAGAAAGATTACTAAGAAGTAATTTTAACATGACTGTTTAAATGAATTTGGACTAAGGAAAGGAAAAATATGCTTTTAGATGAAAATCCCTCCCTTGAGCGGATCTCCTAGCAGGATTCTGTTTTGTCCTAGAAGCTTCCTGGAATGAAGGGCTTTACATTTGTTGATTGTGCTACCTCACCTATGTGTGTCTGCTACCCCTGGAAGATTGGGTCGATGACTAAGACCGTGAGATTGAACATGGAGAGATGGCAAAGAGGGACAGTGGGAGACCAGAATGAGGGGCAGTGCAAGACTGGAATAGGTGTGCAGGGAGAATGGAATAAATGGAGAGATGGAGATTGGAATGAACGGCAACTGATCACCAACCACTCTGGCAACCCGGTTCCCTCCTTCAGGCATACTTCGGGAGCAGTGACTGGCCGGGGTGGGGAAATGGCTCATGGGACCACTGAATGCATGCAGCATGCCGCCACACTTTTTGTACACACGACTTGTTATTAATTTGGTGAAAGACTTTCAGAGTTCCAAAAATAAGCTTGAAATTGCAGATCTGGAATGGGACAGGATTTTCATTAGTTGGGGTGCCGACTGCATTGAATGGTGCTAGCGAAGTTCTTGTTTATAGAGTCATTCCTCTCTGTCAGGCTTACACAGGCACACGTGCAGCGGTAGAAACACAAATATAGGAAAACTGCCTAATCCTCACATTAATCCTGTGAGAAAATAATTATTTTGGCCTTTCAACAGTTGCAAACACTGAAGGTCTGAAAGTTGAGCTAAATTGCTGACTTCCACACAGCCAGCCGTTGAACTTGGCTGGCCTGAATTTTCTGCCAGCCACCATGATCCTCGCATGAGCCGGCTAAGCTCAGCTACATAGGATTCACCCCCACCTCTGCTAGAGAGGGTCAATTGGCACTCAGCAGGCTCAGCAGGGAGAAGACAGTACCAGCCTCCACTTGTTCCTATGTCTCTATTTTATGCATATCCTCTTGCTTCTTTGCTTAAGGTCACACCTGTTGTTGCTCAGGGCTTATTCCTGGCTCTGTGCTTAGGAATCACTTCTCGTGGGGATTGGGGGACCAACCTTATGCAGTGTCAGGGATTGAATCAGGGTGGACATGTGCTTTTAATCCCTGTGCTATCTGAGTGTGTGTCTTGCACGTGTGGGCAAGCCCCTGGTTTGATCTTTGGTTCCTTGTGGTCCCCTGAGTGCCACTGAAGTATTAGCCACCAGCACTGAGGGACCTGAGCTGCCGCACATCTTGGAACAGAGCCTGGTATGGCCAGGTGCAGCTTCTGAGCCTCTTCAGCACTTCTTGGTCCCCTAATAAAAGGAAAAGGAAAAAAAATTTCCAGCCCTATTTTAGAAGTATTTCCTGTTGAGAGATACCTTCTCTCTAACCTATATCAAACTATTCTTAAATACCCAATACAATTTTCCTTGATATCAAGGTCACCAGCTCTCCCCCCTGCCCAGGATTCTGGAATGAAATGGTGTGTGGGGGGGCAATAGTAGCTTTGTCTGCAATTTGGGGTACTTTCTGCTTGTTAGCTCAAAGAAGGTATATATCTAGGGGGATGTGCTGAGGTTTTTTTTTTTCCCCCTGTAAAGAGGGCTGAAGGCCAAATACATTTGGAAACCTCTGCGTTAGACTTTAAAGTTTAGAGGTTGATTAAAACTAAAGCTCTATGGTTAAGATGTGTTGTGTATGAAGCATTAGCAGTGGGGCATTTTAGGGAATAATTAGAAAACCTGATGGTATTAATTTTCTTGTCAGTTTTTCATATTCCTGATCTTATTTAATATGTATTTCTCTGTTTTAATTACAGCTTGGGTTGACCATAGCCATTCGCTATAGCCACAGGTAAAGTTAAAATTTATTTATTTTTTTAATGCTTATGGGCATTGCTTTGATGGTGGTGGTCGGGGGGAGGGGGGGCTATGGTTTTTACTTTTCTTATGGTGGCTGCTCTGTTCATGATATCAGGGTCACAACAATGAGATGAAATTGTTCTTGGTGCTTGATTGGCAAGAGATGATTGCTGTTTGGAGAGATAAGGTCTTACATGAAAGTAGCAGCAGGTAGTATATTTCCTTAAAGATCAGTGTTCTAGAGCAGGTCTCTGAGTGATTTGTGGGTAAGTGTGCTCCAAGGAGGGTGAGGAAGGAAATCAGGGATGTGCTTCCTGGAGTGAGGGGTGGGGGAGGCAAACAGGAAGTGGGGCAAGGACTGGTTCCTGAGCAGCCACTGTGGGGAACACCTCTCCTGTCCCAGCTACCTCTGAGAATGGCTGAAAGCCCCCTGTTTTGTGTTGTTTCATGATTTCTCCCTCTGTCTAATTACATCATGTTTAGGATTAATGTTCCTGGCTCTGGTGTTCAAATTTTTTTGAATGCACCTAAATACATGGAGATGTTGAATGAATTAAAAACGACTTAGTTTCTATAAGTATGTGAGTGCGATGACCCTAGGACTCACAGGCTTTTGTTCTTTGGCTGAAGAGGAGCATACCACAGCCACAAGGAGCATGTTCATCTCTCTGAGCTGAGAGGGGACATTTGAATGGCGAACTTGAACCCCAGTGGCAACACCTATGGGTTCCAGGATGGTGATCTGGCAATGGGCTGTGATCACTTTGGGGTTCAGGTCTGGGCTGTGACATAGTTCCAGGCTGTAACAGGGTCCTAGTTTGGTGCCTTGCTCTTGTGAGGTAAACTGAGGGAGAGAGGCAGGTTGAAGTTAAAATCTCTTTGGTGGGGTTCCTGCCCTTTGGGCATAGAAAGACAGTGATAGAGTCTTTGTTAGTTTTTCCATCATGTTGATCCTCCAGGCCAATGCTTCTGGCATCCTGGTTCTGGTAGAGGTACCTGCCCATATCTCAGAGGAGTTTTCTCAATGATGATATAGGTGAATTACAATGTATGTTAAGAAAAGAATAACAGGGTCCAGAGAGCGAGTGCAGCAGGGAAGTTGCTTGTGGCTGTTCCTACTTCAATCCCTGGCACTGTATACGGTCTCTCAAGCTTCACCAGGAGTGATCTCTGAGCACAGAGCCAGGAATAAGCTCCAAGCACTGCTGTCTGTGGCCCAAATACCACCCCTATCTTCCCAAATCCTGAAATACCAAAACCAGAAAAACACAAACTATCATCATCATCATCATCATCATCATCAACACCATCACACTAACCGGTAACCACAGAGTGAGCAGAAATGTCCCTGCTATTTTTTTTTCTTTTTGGGTCACACCCGGTGATACACAGTGGTTACTTCTGGCTCTGCACTCAGGAATTATCCCTGTGGTGCTTAGGGGACCACATGGGATGCTGGGAATCGAACCCGGGTCAGCCGCATGCAAGGCAAATGCCCTACCCACTGTGCTATTGCTCCAGCCCCTGTCCTTGCTATTCTTGTAACCTACCCAAGGCCTTCCCAGAGTGCCACTCTCTGGTGATAAGTTTAAACTCTTTTTCCTTGGGGACAGCTGACTTCTGCACACATCCATCCGGCCAACTCTCCACAAAAGTTACCTGATTGAAGAATGGTTTGGAAAAGGGCTCACTGCCAATTGTATACCCAGCTAGCCTGCAGCATGTACCAGGCCATTAGGGAGTCAGTCCGTCCCTGTGGCCTTGGCACTGGCAGGGCTCTGTGTGCGGGAGGGGGCAGGAGAGGGCAGGAGGGGATCCCACATGCTAGGAGCCAGGGCTGAGTGGGAGGGAAGGAAAGTTCATGTGAGAGATGTCTGGGGATCCTTGGAGAAAGCTGCGGAGTGCTGAGTGCTCATACTTCAGAGATGTCCGTGTGAGTCTGTGTATGGGAGCAGCTGCCACTCTTGGTAATGTGGACTGCTGTTCTACAGCTAGGAATTTAGGAAGTGTGTGAGCAGAGTTGATGCCACATCTGTGTGTGTGTGAGTGTGAGAGAGAGAGAGAGGCAGCGAGACAGAGAGAGATGCTAACTATGTATGAGAGATGCTATATATGTGTGTGAGGGAGAGATGCTGTGTGTGAGAGATGCTGGGTGTACATGAGATGGTGTCTGTGTGAAAGAGAGATACTGTGTGTGAGAGAGAGGCCCGTGTGTGAGAGATGCTATGTGAATGGCAAAAAAACAGGAAATATATTTGTGCATCTATCTCTATATCTATCGCCCATAAGTCACACCTTGCCACACCCTGCTGGCACCAGATAATCTCCTCATCGTCCAACCCTCCAGATCTCAACGGCTGCTCCTCCCAGTCGGGAGTATAAAATGAGACCCCGATAGCCATGCCACCAGACTCCACGCCAGACCACTACCCAACCACTGCCACGCTCCAGGCTGCTTTCCGGACAGCCCAGCCATAAAGCGGCCATGTGACATATCATAATAAGACACTTCCTACCCATTTTCCATAATTACCACACCACATTTGGTGGAGTTCAGACAGTAGGCAACAAATCATAGAGAGTAATATCTATGTATCTATCTATCTATCTATCTATCTATCTATCTATCTATCTATCTATCTATACCTCTCAGAGAGACCAGCAAGCTACCAGGAGTATCCCCCCCGCATGGGCAGAGCCTGGCAAGCTACCCATGGTGTATTCGATATGCCAAATACAGTAATGATAGGTCTCATTCTCCTGACCCTGAAGAGCCTCCAATCATTGGGAAAGATGAGTAAGGAGAGACTGCTAAAATCTCAGGGCTGGGAGGAGTAGAGACATTACTGGTGCCCACTTGAGTAAATCGATGAAGAACGGGATGATAGTGATACAGTGATATCTATCTCTATATATAGTGTTTGTGTGTTTGTGTGTGAGAGAAATGCAATGTATGAGAGATGCTGTGTTTGAGAGAGCATGAGAGAGATATGCTGTTTGTGAGAGAGATGCTAACTCTGTATATATATGAGAGATGCTTTGTGTGAAGGAGACATTACCTGTGAGAGCAAGAGCAAGTATGAGAGAGAGTGGGAGAGGGAGTGAGCTCTGGCTATTTCCCATCTTTTCCTCTGATGCTCCTCCATAGTTCTGTGCCCAGGAAAGCAGTCTCCCTTTCCCCCCAAAGCTGATATCTGTCTCGGCTTGGAGAATAAGCACACACTTTCCCAGTTGTAACAGGGACAGGAACTCATCTCTGTGGAGCTGGAGGAAACTCGGCTTTTCCTAAGTGGAAATCCGGCTGGAGGATTTTTGCTCCATGCCCAGACTTTGAGAATCTGGGAATTAGATCAGACCGCAGAGTTGGATAGACATGAGGATATCTGCATGACACTTGTCCCTCAGCACTTGGGCAGCTGAATTTGTGGAGGAGCTTCTGGCTTCCCTACACATGGCGATGTTGCATGCCTGGTGCCATGCTTACTTGTCATCAGCACCCAGGGGTGGAGGCGGGTACACTTCCCCACAGCATTGGGAGCGAGAAAGCCTTGGACAGAACAGTGACTTGGGAGTCTTCCCGCCCTCCTCCCACCGTGGGACTCGGGGAGCACTTTGCTGGGATGAAAAAGAACTTGCCCCATCCTTTAGCCAATAGAGGTGTGGATCTGAGGAGGAAGGCCAGATTCCTGGGCTCATGCTGGAACCTGTGGTGATGAGAGAAGAGAAAGATGTGGAGCTGGAGTAATAGCACAGCAGGCAGGCCATTTGCCTTGCACATGGCTGACCTGGGTTTGATTCCCAGCATCCCATATGGTCCCCTGAGCACTGCCAGGAGTGATTCTTGAGTGCAGAGCCAGGAGTAACCCCTTGAGCATTGCTGGGTGTGAGCCAAAAAGAACAGAAAAGAGAAAGATGTAGGACCAGTGAAGAAAGGTCGATAAAGGACAAGGCTTTGCATTGCCCCTCCCTCCACGCTGCCGTCCTGACACCTGCCCCAATCATTCTGGCTGCCCGAGTTTCTGTGCAGATATGTGACTATGACTTGTTGCTGTGTCACAGGGTCTGGAGCTTGTGCTGTAAAGCTCAGGGCTAGGGACAATTATCTTCAGGCTTCTGTGTCTTGTGCGTGATGCCACTGCTGCCTCCCTGTCACTCTGGGCCTGTTTGGACTTTCTTCTAGCCACTGCTGGTCTTTTTCTGTTTGTTTTCTTTTTTTTCTGTTTTTTTGTTTGTTTTCTTTTTGTTTTCTGTTTGTTTTCTTTTCCTGTTTGTTTTGTTTTTGGGTAACAACTGACAGTGTTCAGGGTTTACTCCTGGCTCTGTGTTTGGCTCTGGATTTACTCCTGGCTCTGAGGAGTAATCCCTCAGTGTTCAGGGATTACTCCTGATGGGTTTGGGGGACTATGTGGGATGCCAGGAATCGAACCTGGGTTGGATGCATAAAAGGCAAGTGTAATACCCTCTGTATTATTTCTTCAGCCCCCAGGTATTTTAAGAAATTTTTATTATTTTTAATTTTGGGGGGGGTGATTTGGACCACACCTAGCAATGCTTGGGGGCTACTCAGATTTATGCTTGAGGGTCACTTCCAGAGGGGCTCAGGAGACCCTATGTGGTGCCAGGAGTTGAATGCATGCAAAGTAAGAGCTCTACCCACTGTATTTTGGCTCCCAGAATGCTGCTTGGTTTTCTCTGAATGAGCGTCCAGGAAAACTGGAAGCAGTTTCCTTTCTGTGAGCCAGAGTAGGAAGCTGCAAAGCATCACTTCCCTCTCTCCTGCTGGGCTGGCATCATTACAGGCCCCCACTGGTGCTCAGAGGGAGGGACCAGAGACCTCTTCTCTGGTGGAAGTGGGGTCAGAGGAGCAAGAACACGTGAGGTGGGAGGCTCTGCTGCAGAGCCCCTCTGAGCAGTGTTCAGAGCATTTGGGAAAAAAAAAAAGGAAGACATTATCTCTGCCTAAGGTCACTACTTACTCTTGCGGGGTTGGGG